GCACCCCGGTAATGACTTTTCGGTAATGACTTTTCAGTAAAATGACTTTTCGGTATTGAATTGCAAACTCCATTGAACTACCGTAATAATATCACAAGTTAACTAGCAATTTAACAACTCGATGCTTATAATCATCTTAGAACGTTCGTAATAATTAATAATGCTGAATATTAAAATCTGTAAATAATTTTAAAAACCGTATAATAATAATCTACTCATGTAAATTTATTTGATGTAAGAACGTCTTCTATATAAATAATAATAATTAATAATAATTTCTTTTTATTAAAAAATGTAATTGCACAAAGAAAAATTTTGTAATTAAATAAAATAAGAATAACATGTCATATAGAAATTAAATATATTAAATGTATTAAATATACATTAAAATATTTTATCTCTATAATAAAAGTCATTAGAGTAAAGTTGTTATTTTAATGCAAATTATGTGAACAGAATTGTTAAGAACTTGGATAAACATTAAAAAAATTAATATTTTATAATAAGCTTTAATAAAGCTATTATCATCATGGTTATATTAAATCGAGAGCTATCACGTCAAGGGAGACTAACGAAGGTACGATAAAGCGCAGTCCATCAAGGACATCAGTAGATTTTAGATTGTATGTCACGTGTCTCCCATGAAGGACCATCGAGGGAACAAACCGGCATTATCACGTCCGAGTAGCTGCATCCCAGGTTTTTTTTCGAAGCAACACTTCTCCGTGAAAGCGATCGCATCTGGGGTCTCGTGCTCGATTAGAATAATATCATCCAATGAAAATAATCAAACCCCCATGCAACGGAGCGATACCGGCCATCGGTTATCGCACGATAAACTACTAATAGCTATAACGTGCGAAAGCAAACTCTCAACGCAATCGGTTTAGCGAGACTGTTTACTTAGAACGGTAATAGGCTTACCGTTGCGCTACAGTAAAACGATTGCATGCTCTACGCACCATACCGTTTTATTCATCATTTCAACATCGTCTGTCATGCGAGAGTTGTCTATCGCGTCTTTATCAAGCGAGTGACGATCGAGAGGCATCATGTCGAGCGAACAATACCATCGTCTAGCATCGTACTAAACGGCTTTGATCGACTAAATTAGTCTGCGGCGTTGTAACGCTTTGCAGAGATTTAATTTAACTGTGTGACGACGCATTTGAATGCACGCATAACTGCTTTTTAATTGGCATGATGGGGAACGTGGCGTTTCTACAGCGTAATGGTTTTGTTGCTTCCTTAATATGATGATTGTGACATAGTAATTTAGCAATTTGCAAATTATGTTCTAATAATTATAAACATGGAAGTAGGAAATATTACTAACAAAATAGGAAATTTGTTTAAACTCATATTTAAACAAATTCTGTTGTATGAATGAAAATAATATTTTGAATTAATAATACAGCTTCTTTTACAACTTTTTAAATGTCAACTGTACCTCTAAAATGTTCTTCGATGATGCACGGAGAAAAAATTGTTTATTTGAC